TATTTTGTTAAGGAATTCTTGAAAGCAAAACAACTTTTTCACAAATAACCCATGGAAATCAACTTTTATGCCACCGCCATGTTACAATTAGTTTGCTTGTTTTCTTCAATCTTCGATTTTCAATCAATATTTCCTTAGATATAGCTTTATTTTGGTAAATTTAGCAATAAGCAAACATTTAAATGCGAAAATAATAAAAATATCTCGGCCAAGCTCGATCTGAAGAATATATTTTTTTTTCAATGTTAAATAATTAGTCAAATCGTTGTTTTACGAGGGTGGACTTAATTTTTTCGATGTTTTCTCGTAAATTTCACATAAAATTTAATATGGCACTTAAAACTAAGCCACTTAATGAGAACTATTGTAATAAATTTGGATATTCAACAAGATTTTTATATCATCAGTTTCTATTTTAATTATTTTGATAAGATCAGATCCATACATCCTTTTCTATCTTGATTGATGCTTTCCTGGTGGATTCAGCATGCGACAAATGGTTCTCAATGCGTTCGTCATACAACCTTTAGCAATAAATCAATCTTGAAGAGCTTCGAGAATACACCCTTCAGAACCTTCTCCAGGGTGGGCCAACTAGACATATTCTAGTCTTAATGAGGTTTTGGTGAATGCATTAATGACAAAATAACCTTGACCAGGGTTTTATGAATGTTGTTTATAGTTGCTTTGTAGTATTTCATAAAACTTAAAATGTTACTTGGGCTACTCAGCCTGGGAGGATTCTCGTTGAGAAAATGGAGCAGCAACAACCACAATATCTTAAATTCGTAAGTTTCGGTTTTAAGGTTCCGCTCCTCCCAGAACTGCACAACGTAACTAAACACATTGTGGTATGTGAAACTGCTCAGCTTTTTGACCCACTAGGGCTCCTTGGGTCGATCGTGATTAGTGCTAGAATTTTTGTTCAGCGGCTTTGGGCAAACAATATTCCGTGGGATGAGGAACTTTCCACCGAGGAGGTGGTGGACGGAATTTCAAAGTGAGCTAAACCTCATCCAACAGCTAACCATTCCCCGTCGAGTTCTATCAAACATTGATCGAAATTACCACCTCCATTGTTTCTGCGATGCTTTTGAAAAGGGCTATGGCTGTTGTGTCTACGTGGCGGGTCCAGATAGTGGAGGAAAAGCCACCAGTCATCTCTTGGTTACAAAGTCTCGAGTAGCTCCATTGCGCGGATTGTCGATGCCGCGACTTGAATTATGTGCAGCGTTGGTGGGCAGTCAGTTAGTGGACCAATTACGTAATGCGTCAGACTTTTCGGGACCCGTTACGTTCTGGACAGATTCAACAACAGTGGTGAGGTGCAGCGGATCACCAAGGGTTTCCAATGGCGACATGTTCCGACGGAACTCAACCCGGAATGAACCATATAGGAAGCTGCTCCAAGATTATCGTGGCAACAAACAACATTTAACGACAAACGGTAGACTGTTTAACCCTTGAAAAAGGTCACAATTAAAGGCCGGTACGTCGGGAAATGCAAAACTAGCTGTTTGGATTACCCTTTTTTTAATGTTTTTTCTTAAAAGACATTAAAAGGACTATTATTGCAAGGTTATGATCTTCTCAAGACATATTAGGTTTAAAACTAATATGTTCGAAATGCTCAACATTTATCAAAGCAGGACAGATTTAAGATTATATTAGCCTCCAAATTTTACAAATCTGTCACAGTCTGGTGAAAATAAAATTCAGGACCGAGCAAAACATGAGTTTTTAACCACAAAAAATCTATTCTTTGGATCTTAATTTCTTGCAAGCTTTAGATTCCTTAAACAATTCGTTAAATCAATTTATCGCTTTACCACCCTGGTTAATTATTAATTCTGGTTTCCTTCCTAATGTTATTGAGCATGATTTCCGGCATCTTTATCAATAATTTAAATGAGATAACTTGAAACTTGTTACTTAGAAAAAACTTGGGAAAAATTAAAATAATATGTTTTTAGGGGTTTCTAGGGAAATTAAAAAGATCCGGGAGTGGAAAATCAGAGGTATTTTAAGGCTTAAAACTAACTTAATTTTAATTCGACTTGAAAAAACTTAAAACTTGAAGACAATGCCTAGAGTTTTGAAAGGTCCTAGCACCATGGATACATTATTTATAAACATGTTGTATTTTTATACAAATTCATAAAATACCGATGACATATGCCGAAGTATGACTGAAAATTCAGTTTCGGTAAAACGACGAAAATAAATTGCCCCCCACCCTAATTTGAATCCTGGCTACGCCCTTGAGACCGTCAGGAGGAATCAGCTCACTATGGTGCTTCTTCAAAGTATTATCATCTATGAGGCACTTTTTACCTCTTAAAAAAATGCATCCCCACAGAGCAGCACGGATCCTATCTGAAATGCTCTGTAATGCGAAATTTTTACCGAATTGTGTTTTAACGCACTCTTCTTATCTAAATCATGCTCTACAATATATCAGCCATTCCATAGCAAAACTATGAAGTGGTTCTCAGTAAAAAATGGTTGTTTTGTTCCTTATCACAAAATATTAGACCCGGAGGAGTAGGCTGTGCGTGCGTACTGACGTGACGTTTGTTTTCTTTGGCGCGTTTCAAAATTTGGAAAAATTTAAAATTTATAATTGTCCCGTAATTGGAGCACATTTTCCGCGATTCGAATTGCCAGTGATAACCTGTGATTACTTTTTAAAATAAAATAGTGCTGTTCCGTGTTGTATTTATACATCGGTGCTGATCCGGTCATCAACTACCATAGATATGGAGCTGGATTCGATTGTGCGGTTCTTGGTTGCCACCAACGCCGAGATTCAAGATGTAATTTGCACGAGCAGCTCAATTCCTGGCACAAATAGCCAATCATCAGTTACGGAAGATCATCCATTCGGAACTCAGCGAGTGCACGTACATCGACGGTGTGCAGGACCTACAAGCTCTACGTCTCTGCGATATCCCCCAGCTCGTTCCTGGAGCCGCTGTCAAGCCACCAAACCCTCAACGTCCCATTGTTCGGTGCGATCATGTTACTGAGGAAGGACTTCATTCAAGTGATTCAAGTGCCAGAAGCTTACATCTGACAAACGTCAAATATAAATCGGGGATTTGCTTAACATTGGAGGCATTTGGGGAGAACCTTCCATAACACTATGTTTAATATACCATTCATTACATTACATATTACTGTTACATTAACTCTTAACCTAGCTCGGAGCGTTTGGTACGGTATGTCCACGAATCCGTCCATCCCTTAAGATTCACGAAATGCATCGCTGTTTAAGTAAACCGTGTCAGCACCATATTTGACACGTTCCTAATGATGACGCACTCGTATATTTTTGATCGCATCTCGATTTAGACAAGAATTTGTTAAAACCTTGTTACACCATCGTCCCTAGAGCACTGTAACTTATGTTTGCAGAAGTAACATTTCAAAAATAGTTATTGAAAATTGTCGAACATTATTGATTGTGTCGATTTAGGAACGGCTTCGAATATGGTGCCTCCACGGTTTTAAACTCGAATCCTTTCACAGAATCACCTTTGCGGCAAATGCAACGCAGTAGGCCTGGCCGTTTTGATGTTTGTGCCTTATCTCAGGTTTGCTGCACACATGAATGTTGACACGAAAAATCTAACCTTATCATTTTCCAGGATGCTTTCTCGTACTGGCCGCGTTTGTATTAGATAAGATAAGATAAGATTATCATAAAATATTAGACCCGATTTTTTTTATTTTGTCATTAGGGTGATAATTTCCATGTAAAGTGGGTTAAAAAACCGATTTTTTTTTTCAAAAATCGCTTTTTTTTCAAAATATTATAACCGGACCGATTTCAAAGATCGAAATATGCAATGAAAAATTATTAAAAAAAAAATATTTTTTTAGGAAAAATACGATTTGATTTTATATTTTTTCTTGAAAACTTAGGCTTTTTACACAACATATCAAAAAAATTAAAATCATAATTTTTTTTCCTAAAAATTGTTTTTAATTACCTTTTATTTGATATTTTGAACTATAAAATCGGCTCAGTGGTTCAAAAGTAATGAATTTTTGAAAAAAGTGGCTGATATATTGTAGAGCATGATTTATTAGAAGAGTGCGTTAAAACTCAATTTGGTAAAATTTCTCATTACTAAAACAAGTCGTTTTTGAAAGAAAAATAGGTTTTTTGAACCACCCTAACATGGAAATGGTCAAAATACGAGAACCACTATATCATTTGGCTATCGAATGGCTGATATACAATATCGATAGAACCCAAATTGCGCATTCGTTTTCTAAACTGGGAGCTACTGAATTCAAACCGGTCATAAAATGATGCAATCAGTTTAAATTCATTTCAAAGTAAACCGATTAGATCCTGCTTCACACATTCTTGTCCGCTTATTACCATCATTTTGCATTTTAATCAGAGAATACACTTTCCACGTTGACTGTAACCTGCATTGACTTCTAGAACCATCATCCATTTTGCACCTTCGTAATTTTCTCACCTATGATGAATTCCGGTAATTTCAACTTGTCGTCAAGACACGATTGACCACTCATATCGGATCAGCTCGGTTTCCATCCAGATGAAATCAGCCTTACACGCTGCACCATAGCAACGGTCCACGTAGCTGCAGTCGGTATCGCTTGGCTGAATCAAGATCTCACGATTTAAAAATTAATTAACTTTTCTCAAATGAGCGAAAACCAGTCGACGGGACCGGAAATTTTTCATTTATTGCATTTACCATGACGTGCTGCTCGTGACGGACCAAGACCCTCCGCTGTTCAAATTGCTTCTAAATGAATCAATTGCCCTAATGAAATTATAATGATACGTTCGATAATGAGTGCCGTCCCTCTCGGTTGGACGGCTGACAGTTAGTCGCCGGGTAGTAACTTAATACGATTCACATGAATTCCGGGAGAGTGACGGATTGTCGTTCGGTGAGTTTAATACGATAATGATACTACAATGTATATAGGAAAAAAGGAAAAGTTCCACTCACCAGTCCGTTGCAGGCGGACAGTGCCACACGGGACTGCTCATGACCTCGGATGTGTCCTTGGTAGTGACAGCTGTTGATGTGCTTCTTGGGACGTGTTCGGGTGCGTAGATCTCGCCGATGGCGCTCCACTACCATTAATGGCGCTACGAACGATTCCGTCGATGGCCTGTCGATCATTCGGGTTGGTGAGAAGGTGGCGGAAGAAAAGAACAGAGAGGAGTCAGAAAATCAGATCGAGATCAATGTTCAATAAGATACGATGCTGCGATGCGATGATGGGAGGGAAGAAAATTACCCACGGACGGACGCCACGCCGCTCGCCGCGCAGCTGCCATGGATCCGGCTAGGCCGTCTGGCCCCTGGCGGCAGCAGCCAACAGTTGGATTTAATTTTCATTTCATTGTCTTTTTATGGAAAATTAAATTCCGCTCATATATGGCTACGTCTGTGTCTGAGTTGTAAGATGTGAGTGCACGATTGCTGCGATCGTCGTCCCGGGTGCCAAGCTGGAGCTCCCCTGGGGTGTGCGCGATCGGGGCGGAAGGGAGCGAAAACGAACGTGGAAAATAACTCGTTTTCAAGAATCAAGATCGCGGTTTGTGGCCGACCGACCGTCCGGTCGACAGACGACGACGGTGTGGCGCTTACATGATGATGAGCATTGTAGCAGTTGTTGATGATGGGGCGACGTGAGAGCAGATGACCGATGGGTTCAAGACGCTGCCGATGGGCACTAGCGCCAGGTAGAGAAAGGATTGTTTGCCGGAGCGCTCCCCTGGCGTCAAGTTGACGTGCGCGACTCTGTGTAGTGAGTGAATAATGTGCGGGATTGGGTGAATTACAATGTTGTTAGTTTGACTAATGAAATGATTTTTTTTCCAGAGAACTATTCAAACTGATTAAATAGATGAGTAAAGCGAAGATCAAACTTGTGTTAGAAACTATGGTGAGCTTGACTTGTGAATTATGACCACCATACAAGACACATTGTACCAAGATGTATTTACATTTTTGGCTAATTTTCTGACAGTTTTTGAATAAAATGAAAAATAGCCATCAACAATTACACGGTTGGCTGAAAATGCTATACTAATATCAACATGAAGCTTTATGCCGCGGATACACTTGTATGACAAACTATGAGCATGAGCATTATTTGTATAATCATTATGAGCACTATACAACAACTGTGATGTGATGTGATGTGATGTGAATAGAACCCACCATCAGTGCAAGGATTACCTATGACTGCAGATACTTCACTGGTTGTAAAGTTCTGCCTGATGGTTTGTTGCAGCAGGGTGAATCAACTTTATTGAAGACCTTTGGAAGACAAACGACAAGATGTACGTCTATCAACACGTGACAAGGGACTGGCAAATCCACGAACCCTTGTCCAGTCTACAAATGCTTTGAAACCCAAACCCAGCATATAATAATGTTTGATTAATTAAATGTATTCAAAAAAGGGATATTTAGAGAGAACAATCTTCAACTGGAACGTACTCACCAAATCAATATATCCGGGGCGAGCACTATACAACAACTATACAAAAACTATACAAGTGTGAGCAGGGATGTGCTCATAATTTATTATACAAATAATGTGTATGCTCATAGTGTGTCATACAAGTGTATCCGCGGCATTAGTGTGATAATTTATTAGCTAGAGGAAGTTCTGAAGAGGATAGGTTGATAAGTAAACTTTGTCAATTGTCAATGACAATGCTATCAGTGACGAACATGTGTATATTGTTTTTAACTAACTAAATTTGTAACACAATTATATGACTTGAGCATCACAATTACATGGACCCGTTAAAGTGAACAAGTATCTACGCCCTGAACTGCTTGTATAACAGTAATGTGACACAGAATGTACGAAATTACACTTTTTGTTACCAGGTGAATCTTTGTCATTGACGAAAAAATTAATGAGATTTTGACGAAGGTTTTTTTAAGGATCAAGTCTGTCAGTGACTATGTGAAAAACAATTTTGTCAATATCGCGCGAAAGACTGTCAATGACAATGACAAATATCAGCACTGAGGGGGAATCCTCCAACATTAATCAATGTAATTTGATAAGAGGTTCTCGATCTTACGATCTGCGGTGACCTTTTGACAGATAAAATTGTGAATTGGCATGTTTCTGATGAAGAATCGTTGTCCGACCACAAGCACATCAGGTTTAATTATAATGCCGGATCAGTAATATCAGAAGACTATAGAAACCCAAGAAAGCCTAGCTGGGGCCTCTTTCGTTTTCATTTAATAAATGATAATTCAATTAATGACATTCAAATTAAGACGCACTCACTATTAAAAAGTGCTTCTGATGCGATCATCAACACAATTATCTCATCATATCATGCTAGTTGCCCTACAAAACACATATCATCTAATAGGGATGTTCCTTGGTGGAACGACAAACTGGCAAAATTGAGGAAGATATCCAAATGATAGTTCAATGGAGCTAAAGCTACTTCAGATTGAGATCAATACAAAAAGGCACTAACTGAATACAACAAAGAATTGAGGCAAGCTAAACGGAAGGATTGGAGACGGGTATGTGAAGAAATCAAGGCAGCTGCAAGGATGCTTAAAGTTCTTTCAAAAGACCATTAAAATGGTCTTGACAGCCTAAAAAAGAAGATGGTAGTTGCTGACTCTTCTGAAACACTGGAAGAAATTATGAGGACTCACTTTCCAAAGTCGACTCCATTTTCGCCTGAAGAACAGGACTTTGAAATGGCAAGACATGAATGGTCAATAGATGCCTATCAGAAGGCTTGTGAAATCTTCACGCGATCGAAATTCTTAACTCACTACGTCAATTTACGATAACGGCTCTACAATAACGGCTAGTTAATAAAATCGAGGAATCGCTTAAAGCCAAGGAAATAGCCGTGGTTGCTTTTCTCGATATTGCAGGTGTATTCGACAATGCATCCCAAAGGTCAATGCGTCCAGCTATGGAAGTAAAGGGCTTGGATAACTACCTTATTAATTGGATACTGGCAATGCTCACAGATCGAGAAGTATCTGTTGATCTTATAGATGACAACTAACTATAAGATCGGTGAAGGGTTGCCCTCAAGGAGGGGTTCTATCATCCTTATTGTTGTATTTACTAGTGGACGAACTCCTTAAAAGTTTGGCGGACCAAGGTTCCGAGGTGGCCATTATACGATTTCTAATCGGTTACAAACTGTGCTCAACATGATCTTCAAGTGGTGTAGGCGAGAGGGCTTAAATGTAAACCCTTCAAATACTGTCATAGTATGTTTCATCAGAAGAACAAAAGTTATGTTGGTATAGCCTTCTGAGCTCGTGGAAGAGTCTTAATACCTAGGTGTTACTTTGGACCGGAAACTAAATTAGAACTCTCATCTCGATAAGGTTATCACTAAGACTAGAAGTGCGCTATGGGTTTGCAGTAAAGCTGTGGGGAAAACATAGGGACAACGACCAGACATAGAATGCTGCATATATTCAGCAATAGTTCGAGCCAAAATTACCTATGCTTCACTGATATGGTGGCCCAAAATAAATGAAGTAACCGCTCAAAAGAAGTTATGAAAACTGCAAAGACTTGCTTGTACATCAATGACAGGGGCAATGAATAGTATACCATCTGTTGCCTTGGATACCCTTCTCAATATTCTGCCCTTGCATCAGTTTGTTAAATTACTGGCAGCAAAAAGTGCCCTACATTTCAAATGTCAAAATAAAATTTTAGATGGCAATCTAAGGATATTTGAGTATCCTCAAGGATTTCAACTTAAATTCAGCTGTTAATACAGTGGAGGATTGGATGGTAACGAAGACAAACTATGATTTTCCCTTCAAAGTGGTTAAATCAAGCCGCCATGAATGGAATCTGGTGGGCCAAAAATACGTCCAGAATCTATTGCATTTTACTCCGACGCACAGTGGGAAAAAATCGACATAAAAGGAGCAAAATTCATTATCTCTGATCAGCGCTGATTTAACCTTTGCAAATATAATCTCTATTATGGGAAAACGTCTCAGGAATCCAGTGGAAATAGTTTCGTCCTGTGCAGAATAGGGCAAGTTGGGGTTTTTGCAGCATTTTACTCAAATTTCTTAAAATTTTGGATAAATGACTTTAAAAATACCTCATTGTGATTAATATACGTTCTGAAATATTGTCACTCTTGTAGAAACACATCTGGAAAATCCATTAAAAATGGTTTAATACATCACCAGTCTGTGCAGACTATGAATTTTAGTAAATTTTACCCCTATTATCTTATTTTCGATATTTTTTTTAAAAGACAGTGGTCAGGGATAAGAAAACCTGTCCAATGATAGTCCTTCTTGAAGGAAAACTCCTTAAGGATTCAACAAATTATGTTTTTGATTACATCGAAAGGTAAGCTGATGAGCCATTTTCCCTAACTCTCCCCTATTTATGAATTTAATCAGTAGTGTTACACGGTTATACGCGTTAGTGCCTGTCATACTATACCCTCGTGTACTGTATGACTGTAAAAATGACTGAGGAATCGAATAGTTATGGTTTCATCTTGACAACATTTCAGTAAACTACCCATTTTGCCCAATTTCCCCAAAACAAGTCATGATGTACTTTTTATACGAATTAAGGCCTGTTATTTTGATCGTTCGGGCACTTTCCCTCTGTAAAAATGTGGGAGAAATTTAATGATGATGGTCTCATTTTGTGCTGACATCAGCTTATTACCCATTTTTCCCGATTATCCCCTTTAATTTAATAAATCAACTAGTAATCGAATTCACGCATGTAATATTGAATAATCATTTATTATATCATTGAAAATATGTTTTAAGCATCAAAAAAATGTTTGTTTCATCTTGCACAGACTTTAGATAACTAAACATTGTGCCCGATTCTCCCCTTTTATTGAAGAAAAAAAGAAAAATCATACGATTATACGCCACATTCATAATAAACCCTCAAGCACTGTCCTACTGAAAACATCTAATGGTGATAATCCCATCTTTAATGAACCTCACATACCGTAGAAATATCATTCAATAGCTTGATGTATCACATTAAATCATTTATTTCATAAGTTGCACAATCCGCGTTTCTAAATATCAGCTTCTTTCCAATTCAGTTCCGTTTCAACTGACCCTAGTTGGTAATTCCTTACAGAG